ATGAAGATGTACAGGGATTTGAGGTTGAGTTACTGGTGGCCCTGCATGAAGCGGGAGGTTGCATGGTTCGTGGAGCGGTGCTTGACCTGCAGAAAGGTCAAGGCTGAACATCAGAGGCCTCACGACAAGGTTCAGCCGTTACCCATTCCTATGTGGAAATGGGAAGAGATCACCATGGACTTCATTACGAAATTACCGAGGACAGCGAGGGTGTGGATGCCATATGGGTCATCATGGACAGATTGACAAAGAGTGCCCATTTTATTCTGATATATGAGAGTATCTCTGCTGAGAAATTAGCAGATATCTATGTGTGGGAGGTGGTGGTCAGGCACGGAGTACCAATATCCGTGGTCTCGGACCGCGATGTTCGATTCACCTTCAGGTTCTGCAGGAAGTTCCATGAGGAACTGGGCATCCGGTTACACTTCAGCACAGCGTACCACCCCCATACAGACGGTCAGAGCGAGTGGACGATTCATACGCTCGAGGATATGTTGCAGGCATACGTATTAGACTTTAGAGGGAGTTGGGATACATACCTCCCACTAGCAGAGTTTTCATATAACAATAGTTATCATGCTAGTATCGACCGACCACTGTTTGAGATGTTGTATGGTCGGAGGTGTAGGACCCCTGTGTGCTGGGGAGAGGTAGGGCATCATGTCATTGGGAGCACCGAGGTGGTGCTCAGGACTACCAGTTGATTCAACATGTGCGCGACAGGCTGCGAGTCGCGTAGAGCCGTCAGAAGAGTTATGCTGACCAGCGTCGATCAGACCTCGAGTTCCAAGTGGGGGACTTTGTTTTTCTGAAAGTGTCACCCTGGAAGAGTGTCATTAGGTTTCAGAAGAGGGGCAAGTTAGGGCTCCGATATATTGGCCCGTTCAGGATTACTGCACGGGTGGGAAAGGTAGCATACTGCTTGGAACCGTCGGACGAGCTTAGCTAGATTCACAACACCTTCCATGTGTCTCAGCTGCGGAAGTGTGTCACAGACAAGGCCGCGGTTATTTCTCTGGACGACTTTCAGGTGGATAAGAGCTTGAACTACATTCAGAGGTCGGTTGCGGTTCTAGATAGGAAGACTAAGGTCCTTCGTAACAAGGAAGTGAAGCTAGTGAAAATGCAATGGCAGCACCGAAGAGGCTCCGAATGGACATGGATTCCGAAAGAAGAAATGCGAGACCACTACCTGGATTTGTTTGCGTCAGCATACTTCGAGGACGAAGTCTAGTTCAATTGGGGGAGATTTGTAACGCTCGTTTCTGGTATCAATTACTTTTCAAGATTATTAGGGTTTTAGACTGGAACTCGACGAGTTGGGGAGCTCCAACTCGTCAAGTGGAGATCTTATTGGACGCGGGACTTAAGGTCTACTCGACAAGTTGGAAGGCCCCAACTCGACGAATAGACGCTGTAAAGGGAAACCCTAATTTTTAGGGGCTTGTACCCTATTTAAAGAACTTATGGCTTATTTGTGGCCTCCCTCATCACCCTTACTATCCATAGAGAAACCCTAGTCGTGCCTTAGTGCTTTCTTGAGTGTGCGTGAGCTTTAGAGAGTGAATATTGTGCTCTTTGGAAGGAAACTTGAAGATTGAAGTGATTGGAGTGAGGAGGAGGCTGTAGATCCGACATCTACTTAGTGTTAGCAACCATTTGGAGGTAAAAAGTCTTTACCTTGGCTTTGCATTTCTTAGATCTTCCCTTATGCAAGAGTATGGTCATTTCTAGTGCAAAATGGGGTCACTCTCGGGTTTGAGCTTGTCATGAGGACATAACTTCAGATCTGGACACCTTAGGCCTCCTTGGGCCTTAAGATTCAAGCTTTATCAAGCTTTAGCCATCCTCCATGCCCTAAACCTTCCATTAAGCCTAGTTTTAGTGTTTTAGCCTCTTGAGGCCTTGCATGCACGTAAAGTTAGCAACTTTACGTGATATTTCGGTCCTAAGGGACTGGATCTGTAGTTTAGGGCTTTAGATTCAACTGAAAGAGATGAATATGTTTGGACAGGGGGAAAACTCGACGAGTTGCCCTGGCAACTCGACGAGTTGGATCGAGTTACCCCGCCTCTTTAGATACTGAGTGAACTCGACGAGTTGGCGTGGGTACATCCTGGTTTTCTGAACACTGAAGGAACTCGACGAGTTGTTGGATGCAATCAACGAGTTGGGTCAACATGGACTGTTGACCTTGACTTTGACCATGGTTGACCAAGCTTGACTTTGAGGTTATTTATGGTATTTCGGGATTTTGACAAAGTTAGTCACATGATGATTGTAGGCAGTTAAGTTGGAGCTGCAAGTTGGGATTGACTTTATCGATTCAGCATTTCTAGAAAGGTGAGTCTCTTCATCATACCAATGGGTCTAAGGCACCAAGGCTGGCCCATTATATGATATGTGGATTGTTAGTTGATTATGTGATATGTCGGTAGGACATTTGTATGGAAGACCCCGGGGGGTTCCCGTGGCGGTAGTTAAGACCATGAGGGGGTTCCTATAACATTAGTATAAGTCCTTGGAGGGTTTCCATGGCATCTTAGTATGGTTGCATGTGTAGCTTGTATGATATTTCCTTAGTTAGAGAAGACCATGTCGGGGTTCCCATGGTTGGTAGTCAAGACCACGTGGGGATTCCAGTGGCAGTTAGTAAAGACCATGTGGGGGGTTCCTATGGCAGTTAGTGGAGACCATGTGGGGGTTCCCATGGCAGGTAGATAAGACCACATGGGGGTTCCAGTGACATTCGGTATAAGACCTTGGAGGGTTCCCATGGCATCCTAATATGTTTTGTATGCATGGCTTATGTGATATATGTAGCTGTTATAGCTTATATGACTTTTGTGATTGTGTGGGTTGTGCGGGGTATGCTCTGGGGAACTCACTAAGCATTAGCTTACATTTTGTTGATTGTTTCAGGTACTTCAGAGCCTTAGGGTAAGGGCCCGTCATGATGGCGCGACATGCACTCTCTTCGGCATTTTATTTGGGGACACTCTGATATTTTGAATAAAATGTTTGATGTTATGGATTTTGGAAACAATTGTTATTGAGATTTCATATTTTATGGGAATGTTTTGGTTATTTAAAAATGAAAAATTCGTTGAAAAATTGGGTCGTTACATCCATTGTGGCTGAGATTTGGAAACTATCAAGCTCCACCATTGGAATTGAATCTAAGCATAAAGGTGATGGGTGGATCGATCGCAGGTTTATGTTTTTCTATCACCCCACCTTCCGCCCCTCTTTCTCTCAATCACAGATTCCTCTTCACCATTCTTCTTTCTTTTGAGTTACAAGTCTGATCATGTGAAGATCAGTAGACAGAGTAAGGCAGGTGATGGTCCCAATGGTAGTTTTTGATGGAGATCGGTGGTTGTGAATGGCGATAATGGTGGTTTCCTGTGAAATCGGTGGTCATTTGTGTGAGATTAGGGTTGTGGAGAAGGCGCTAAACAGGGAAGAGTTGGTGGTGATTGGTGGTGGTGCCGGAAGAGCTGGTGATGATATTTGGTGGTGGGTCGGGAGAATCTTGTTGCAGGAAATGAAAGGGAGAGGGGTGAGGATATTTGTTTTGTTTTTTTTTTCTGATTTAATACTGATAAATAAACAAAAGAAAATGAAAAATAAAATATTAAGGGCAAAATAGTCATTTCATGTCAATAGGGACTAAACGTGCAAGAAAACATACATAAGGACGGTCCGAGTTAGTTTTTTTTAAATAGAGACCAAACGTGCATTTTGGCATATGCATGAGGGACGAACTGATGTAATTTACCCTTTAGTAAATTAAAAAGGACAAAATGGTCAATACACTCTAATTTCATGTGGACGGATAAAACATTTCAGTGATATAAGCTCCCAATCAGAAAATGTGAAAATGAGAAGTATTTTCCAAAATTTCAGGTTTTTATACCACTGAAATTGGGGCCAAATCGTATCCTAAAATAGAGGAAATAACAGCTAGAGTGTGTGAAATCACAGCTGTGAGGAAATCATAGGTTATTTTCGGAAAAACATTAATTTTTTGCCATTTTTTAAAAGGTAATAAAAGAGATTTGGGCTGTAATTTTTTCTATTTATATTTATTATGAGTTAATAGTTGATTGAATTGATGGTATGGTTTTACTTGAGATTTAAATGAGCGTTTTTAAGATGCACCCTCACGAATCGAAAGACCCTTGTAAAACATTGGTCATCATTTCATTGTAAAAGATTTAGCTTCCGAAATACGTTCATTTAAGTAAATAGCTCAGAACATTATTTATAAAATATTTTCCCTAAATTCAAATGTTTATCTAATGGGAAATTAAATATCCTCTTATTTTTGTTCCTATAAATCCTCCTACCCAATTAAATAATGACATTTGTCATATTAATATATTAAAATATCATTAAATTAATATTAAATATTACACATATTACTATTTAAATGGTTAGAAAGATTTATAGAAACAAAAAGCAGAAATATATTTAATTTCTCTTTATCTAATAGTATATGAATATATTTAATTTCTCTTTATCTAATAGTATATGAATATACACACCCCCTCTCACTTAAATATTTACTTTCGATTTTGTTTGTCAAAAAAAGATGAATACACACCCGATGAAACTAAACAACAATGCCACACATTGCCCAGAATTCGGCATTCCTATTTATGGAAATTCCCAAAGGTTAGTGTCATAAATAATAACAAACTATTTGTATTTTTTTACTACATGTCCTAGAAAAATATCATAAATAGGTAATTCACAAAATACCCTTAAAATAATGGTATTGTATGAACACAATTCTTGTTTCTTACATTCTATAGCAATTTTTCTTTTTTAAATCAAGTCTTTTTTTTTATGAAAAAAAAAAATGTTACCCTTTATGTTATGACATTAACCTTCCAAATAAGGGTGGAATAACATAATAATCCATGCAATTAAAATTATACATGGCTTCGATTTCATCATTGTGTAAAAAAAAAAAAAAAAAAAAAGTCATAGTCGATTTCAATTGGTATTTAAAAAAAGTCGGGTCTTTCCTAAACCAGAAACACCAAAATCCCGGGCAACATGACAACTGCCCGGGATCTGCCCACACTGCCCGGAAAAAACCCGACCCAAAATACAAAAAACTCCCGTGACAACATCTAAACACAACCCACAAGTGATTCTACATACACAAACCTTGTCTTGTCTTGTCATATATAGTATAAATTTAATCATCAAATTGCATATATCACCTCACCACTGCTGTCAATATCAAGTTCATCTGGATCAGAGTCAAAGTCATCCAAATCATCATCCATCATATCAAGATCATAAAGACCAACAGGTGGAATAGTTGCTTCTGATATTATCTGCATAATCACATCAACACTTTGCATCGGTTGATCCGGTTCTTCAAATTGATTTGTCATCATTTTGTCTTCATCCATGAGATTTTCCGGAAGGTTCTTTAGAAACCATTTGTGTTGTTTTATCTCCGCCATCGTTATTCTCTGTTCCACAAAAGGGTAAATTTGTAAATATCTGTTAAGTTGTTCTTTCTGTATTAAGTAAAAAAAAACCGACCTGTGTGGGGTCTCCAACAAATATTCTTGAAATGAGGTGCCAACATTCGGGGGAAATTTGAATATTTTCTGGGATTGAATATTGGACATGTAGAATTCTCTGTGGATTATGAAAGTAGATTGATATAAGTGAAAAAAAATATATATCATAATATCGTGACAATGAAGTTGAAACATATTTATGTCATATACATGTATTGTCTTTCGAAAGTCTTTTGGTTCGTTTGGATCTTCAAAAGGGTAGCCACCAACGAGCATTACATATAATGTCACCCCGCATGACCAAACATCCGCTATCTGAAAACAAATAATTGATTAAAACTTCAGTCACGGTTTCAGTCTGATGCATGTCAAATACAGTACAACATGTTTTGTCATGTCATCTCCTTTTGTGCCATGTCATATCAAACGTAGTGCAACATATTTAGTCATGTCGTGTCGCAAACAGTACAACCTGTTTTGTCATATCATGTCCTCTGTGACAAACAAATAGTACAACCTGTTTTGTCATGTTTTGTCATATCATGTCCTCTGTGACAAACAAATAGTACAACCTGTTTTGTCATGTCTTCTCCTGCTGTGTCATGTCAAGTGCAGTACAACTTACCTTTCCATCATATTCTTGCCTAAGCAACACTTCGGGTGCGATATATGCTGGTGTACCAACGGTCGATTTTGGTTGTGAATGCAACACCGACGACTGCAAATGTAAAATCAAGAAAATTATATAATTTTTTTGACAAAAAGTATAAAAATACACGAACCAAATAAAACGAGTGGGAAAAGTTGCTACCTTTGAGTAACCAAAATCACAAATCTTTAAACGGGGAGCAGGGCTTCCATCCAATAACGTGTTTTCTAGCTTCAAATCACGGTGACAAACTTGCTTCAATGATGAAAAAAAAAAAATCAAATGATTAGCCTATACCTAAATAATAATAAAAAGCAAAACTATTTTCATTAAATAGTAATCAAATACAAAATTTCATAACAATGAAACAAAATTGAAAGTTGAGTAGTTAAATCTCTTGAAAAAAGTTTAATAAACTTATTTGAACAAATGTAAAAGTTTAATTTACCATAGAGTGACAATAGCTGACACCAGATATGAGTTGTTGAAAGAAGAATCGAGCCTGTTCATAATCAACACAATTAAATTTTTTGCAAGAAAAAAAAAACAACAAAAATTTCATATAAAATTTAAAAAAAAAAAAAAAAAAAGAAGAAGAACCTCATCTTCGTTAAACCTCCCTGCATTGCAAATTCGATCAAAAAGTTCCCCTCCAGAAGCATATTCCATCACAATTGCCAAATGGGTTGGGGTCAATATGAGCTAAAATATATTTAAAATTTTGAAATTAGTAATTAACTTGTTATTAAAAATGATAATTTAAACAAAAAAATAGAGAAAAATGATTGCACCTCTCTGAACCTAACGATATTAGGATGTCTTAAAGACCTGTGATTGATGATTTCCCTTTGAACATTTTCGTCTATCTGAAAACAAATATCAAATTTAATTAGAACGATGATCAAATTATCAAGTTACCAATGAACTTCACAATTCCCACATAATTTTTAAAGAAAAAACTTATACGCTTGATGCTAAGAACATGGAGAAGCTTGTGCTCCAATTTCAAGCTGCAGTCCTAGAAATATGAGGTCTTGTCAACTCATTGATGTGAATTTTATCGCTAATTTAGGGAAACGATTAAATTTCATGGTTTTAATTTCCCCCAAATGTTCATCCTACAATCTTTGCTCCTCGTTATTTGTTTAATTTTAACATGGATGCTAATTGTTAATTGCTAATTGCGAAAATCAATCGCGAAGAAAGTGAAAGATCCATAAATGGAAAGAAAATAGAACTCCCTTAAATTAGACAGTTTGAAGTGAAATTAAGAATACCCAAAAAGGATCGATCAAAATCCGATAGTGGTATTTCACCAATCAATCAGAAAATACCAAAAACAGATACAGATTAAATCAAAAGAATGAAAAGCCCCAACTGACCTTTTCACCTCTTTCGATATACTTAACAGCGACAAGCTCTTTAGTCTGTTTATCTCTCATAAGCCTAGCAACTCCAAAATTACCCGACCCAATATCTTTAACCAAATCATACCGGTCACTATCGTGCATGATCGGTAAATCAATACCGGAACTCGCCGCTGCCATCGACCGATCCATTCTCCGGCGTCAAAAGTCAAACCCAAATAACATTCCAGTTAACCAAACGACAAAAAATCAATCAATCCCACCACAGTATATGATCACCGGCGGCTGATTAACTTGAACAAAAGATCCCGGAAACCACTTCTTCTTTCCTAAGATGCCGGTTATGTGGGTGATTATAATAATAAAGATTATCACGAAACAGATAGAGAGAAGGGCCCAGATTTCTCTAAAGTCGGTTGCTTTTGGGAAGAATTCGAGGGAAGGGGTGAGATATTTTTGTTGTGGTCGGCGAGTGGGGGAATAGGATTGAATTTGTTTAATATATCTTGAATCTTTGATGCTGTGAGAGGAGATCAGTGGTTGGAGAAGTGATGGTGACGAAGGTGGGGTGGGGTGGGGTGATGGAAGAAAGGGACAAATTTCGTCAAATGGATATGTAATACGACGGCGTTTTGGTTTGTTTTTTCCTTTCACTGTCGTCTTCTTTGTTATGGTAGATGTGTTTGGGATCATGGGATGGATAATGTGGGGGATCAAATCGGATATTTGGGTTAAAACCGGATCATATCATATTGAATTCGAAAACCCATTTTGATTTTAAAACAAAATTGAATGTAATTAAAAATTTGCTTGTAGCGGTATAGGTATCGATAGAAATGTGGTTTTTACTTAAAAAGTTAATGATGCGTTTAGTTGTGGAAAAATTGGCCGTTTTCCGGAAAAAATTTCCAAGGAAAATGAGAATTTTGAAAACGCGTTTAGTTCGTCTATTTTTTTAAATTTTTCACGGAAAATGAAAATTTTCTGTTTTCTAAAATTACAAAGAAGTTGGAAATTTTTGGAAAACCAATAATTATTGTTTTTCCACATTTTTATAATTTCAAAATTTTTCTAAAATATAAACAGACACTCACTCCCACATTTACCTATCCCAACCCACCACACCCCTACCTACCCACACCCACCCCCACAAAACACACACACACACACACACACACCCACAAACACACCTACCCCAACCCCCACCCGCACCCCCCATACACACACATAACCACAAATACACACACCCCCACCCCCACAAACACACACACACATACCCATAAACAGACGCCCACCCCAACCCCCCCCCACACACACACCCACCCCAACCCCCACTCACACCTACACCCCCACAAACACACACACACACACACACACCCACACCCACCCCCATAAACACACACACAAACAAACACCTACACCCACCCCCATAAACACACACACAAACAAACACACACACACATCCACACTCACACCCACCCTCACCCCCATAAACAAACACACACACACACACACACCCAAAACCACTACCATAATCACCGACCTACCATCACCATCACTACCACCACCACCACTACCTCATCACTAGCATCACCACCGCCGCCACCACCACCACCACCGTCACCATCATCGACACCACCACTGCCCCCCGCCGCTGCCCCCACCCCCAGCCTACCACCGCTACCGTTTTCTAAAAATGAAAACCGATAGAAATATACACATCTAAACGCGTTTTCTAATTTTCTACAACTGAAAATGGAAAATGAATAAGTTTTAACTAAACGCGTTTTCTAAATTTTTCAATGAAAACTGAAAACGGAAAACAAAAACTGAAAAGGGAAAACGAAAAATGGAAAAGGAAAACTGTTTTTTCGTAACTAAGGGTGCGTTTAGTTGCAGAAAAATGAGTCGTTTTCCGGAAAAAATTTCCAAGAATAATGAGAATTTTGAAAAAAACGTTTAGTTCGTCTATTTTTCTAAATTTTTTACGGAAAATGAAAATTTTCTGTTTTCTAAAATTACAAAGAAGGTGGAAATTTTTGGAAAACCAATAATTATTGTTTTCCATATTTTTTCTAATTCCAAAATTTTTCTAAAATATAAACACACACTCACTCCCACCTCTACCTACCCCAACCCACCACACCCCTACCTACCCACACCCACCCAGTCCCAAGCTCACCCCCACAAACACACACACACACCCACCCCACAAACACACACATACCCCACCCACCCACACACACACACACAAACATAAACAAACACCCACCCCAACCCTCACTCACACCTACACCCCCACAAACACACACACACACCCACACACACACACAAACACACACCCACACACACACACAAACACACACCCACCCCCACCCCCATAAACACACACGCATCCACACACACACATACACACACCCAACATCACTACCACAATCACCGACCTACCATCACCATCACCACCACCACTACCCCATCACCACCGCCACCGTCACCACCACCGCCACCATCATTGCCTCTCATCACCACCGCCGCCACCACCGTCGCCATCATCGACACCACCACTGCCCCCTGCCGCTGCCCCTGTGACAACCATCAAATTTCGGTCAAGTCAAAGTCAAACAAAGTCAACAAGTTAAACCGGTCAACTCCATTAACCCTTGTATGTTAGGGTTTACGTTATGTAATCACTGTACAATTCGCTATTTTAATGAGAAAACATCATTTGGAAAGTTCATGTGTTTGATATTCCTTAGGCTTAACAGTGCTAAACAACGAACCAAAGCGATAAAACACTATTGCACAATCATCGGGATTGTGTAGGACACTAAATCATGGCTTAACGGGGTCTATGGACCTTGCGTTGCGAAGCCGGACACTCAAAAAGATCACAAACGAAACCTCTCTCAATCTCATTCAAACCCTACTCAAGATTACTTGACGCTAATAGGATCAAAACTCATACACTACGATATAAATTGACGTTAATAGCAACATAGTATAGTACAACGTTATAACTATAATCAAATTAAATTATGATACCATATTAAAATCAAATCAAATTATAATGCTCTAATTAAATTTAAAAGAATCAAACTTGAATGCTATAATTAAACTTCAAATCAAAGTAGATTGTTATAATCAAATAATAACTCATCTTTTATAAAACTCCATTTTTATAAACTTTACATTAAATTTTATAAAACTCTATTTTTATAAACTTTACATTAAATTTTATAAAACTCTTATAGTAATTATGTAAAAGATGTTTGTGTTAGTCGGAAATTATGAAGACCACCAAAAGCAAAAAGATTATTCCCATGGTCTCCCACTCACACCTCCCATCCACTTTCCTTTCCTTTCTCTCCCAACACATTATTCTCTTCACCACTTAAACCTTCTCTATTCTTTCTCTCACTCTCAATCTCGAAATTCATCCAAGAAATACTCATATTCCAGCCAAGAACAATCTATTATACTCAAATCTTCATCCCTCTTGAAGCATTCATCAAGGTATGTTGTTAAAAGTTTCAAATTCATACAAGAAACAAATTAAATCCACCAAAATATCTAAAACTCATTTTATGCATAAACCTGATTTTTCTCAGAATCCCATCAATAAAATAAGAAGTTCTGGAAATTTTCAGAAAATAACTTATTTTTATTGAATTACAATAATTATTGCAATAAAGTAGGGCAATAATTCACATAAAATACTGTTTGCATTCAATAAATTCTAAGAAAATTCTGGGATGACCAATATATTGATTAAACATAATTTATGAAGTTTCATGCATTTATATTACTGTTTACTATTATTTATGATTTTATTGATTAATTAATAATGAAATATATAAAAAATACTTCCCATAGTCACAAATATCTGAAACTTATACACTGAGCTCTACATCATGTTATAAAACTATGGTTAATTTTACAGATATTTTCAGAATTATTTACTATTTTTCCCGAATTTTGTGTTGTTTAATCATTAAAATATTAAATAAATACTAAAACAGTTCAGAAAAATATACAAATTTTACAGTAATTCATATTGTATGAAATAATGATTTCCTAATAATTTCATAATTTTTCAATACTGTTTACTATTTAAAACTATTTTCCTAAGTATTTAAGCATGTAAAAATGCATTTTAATGATTATTTCATATAAATAATTGTTAAAATCTGTAAATAATTATAATTGGGCAAGTTATTATTTTAATAAGAAATTATTAAAATCTGACCTAAATTGAAAATATAAATTAATTATGCAAAGTAAGTAATTTAATTTAAAATTCATTTAACAAATAAATACCTTAATATTATAATCAAAATGAATTATTGTTAATTCATCTAATATAAGAATATGTGTCTAATTATTTGTATTAATACTCCATTCTCGTTTAGCAGTTCCTAAACCAAAACTATTAATTATATTAGGTTCTACGCCATTTTGACCCGAATCGTCTATCGTACGACACACGCATTTCGTTTTGGGACTAAGGTGAGTAATCTACCCCATACTTTATAATTTTCAATACTTTTGGGGTGTATCATGTGGTTCTAATATATTCCAACTTCATTTTATTGTTTTATCACAATTGAGACATTGTTGGGACATTTATACGTGAGTCATTAATTGTATAACTATTGTTTGTTTACGCTACATGTACTTGTAGTGCATTACCATTTTTAGTCTAATCTCCATGACTATGCCCGTATTCTTGAGGTACGTTATGGACAATAATAGCGCTATTGGGTTGACCACCCCGCCTTGGGACGCTAAGGTGATTGATCGCACGTGGTTGAGTGTGTATGATGATTAGATACTCCATCCTATATATATTATATATATATATATATATATATATATATATATATATAGATATATATATATATATATATATATATATATAGGGTGAGGACTTATTGTTGTTATCATTTGTTAATCAATTTTTTATTTATAAACCGTTATCTCAAATACAATTGTTTGCCGACTTCAAAAGAAAACAAATTTCCAATTATAAAGGTTTCAACTTCATAATTTTCTCTACTAAAATTAGATTACTCACCAACTCTCGTAGTTGACCTGTTTTTACCCATGATGCAGATTTGAAGAATGAAGTTGATGAAAAATAGGTTGTGCCTTAGAAATCCACAAGACTATTTAAATTTGATGTAATAAATGTT